CCTCTGGGCGAAACCCAAAGACAAACCACCATCGGCACCAGCACTACTACTACTACAACCACCGCCGCCGCCGCCGACGCAACGTTTACGGCGACGAGTCGAACATCTAAGGAATGGATCCCCTCCCGGGCGGCACCGTATATGACCGTTTTGGGCTTCAAATTGAAACGACAAATCACCGAGAGAAAAATACGATACACAACCCGGCATCGTTTCTTCTCTCGGTAAGGTTTCCTTTTCGTGTCGTTTTCGGAACGAAACGACCGCACGTGAAAGCTACTCTCTGACAGCATCAGTGATTGTGTGAGCTCCTCTTCTCGACGGCTATCGGCGGTAGTTCTTCTGTCGCTCGATGCTACCGTCTCAGATGCAATGAGAATGTTGACTCAATGTAGATTAGTAGCGACAGTTGCCCCTGTAAGAAAGAGAGAAGAACATGAGCCGTGTGCACAGGATCAAGATAACCCCCTTGTCATACGGGCTGCTATGGGTCACATGCGAGTCGAGACGAACAAGTCAGCGAGCGGCTCATCATCCATCATCGTATCGTGCTGTAGATGTTATTCGGAGTTACTGGATTCCTCGGCGTCCCAGACGCCGTTCTTGTTGAGTTCAGACATTATGACGACTGGAACATGTCTGTGGACATTCATGGATTGACTGAAAACAAACCCGACCCCCCGCGAGTCCGGATCCTATCCATTCGGAAGCTTAATCCGATAGGCTCTTCCCCGTCGGTCATGATGCGTGGTGATAACTGTTTCCCTCCTCGAGCCGTGATTCAAATCGGTGTCACTGCTTCGTGTCCGACTCTGGCGCGAAGCTCGAGGGTGCTCAGGAAGAATTAGGGAGCCGAGGAGAAGGCAACGAGAACTCACATCCGAGGATCGTGGGCCTGATAAAAAACTACTCACGCAAAACGGTAGCGTCCACAGACTCGCTAGCTAGCTAGATAGCTCGTCCTCGGCCGTCACCGTAACGTCGAGCAACGGTGAGAGCAAGTAGCATCGACACGCAATGCTTTTAATTGCCGCCGGTCTTTCGGCTCGTCTAAACGCCAGCCGCAGTAGCAGCGTCGACGACATTAGGGCACCCTCGACAAGTTTGCTCGATCGTCGGCTCAGAGACTCGCGAGCGTATACGTTGACGGCGCTCCAGCACGTTGGTCGCTTGCCTCGGTCACGCAGTGAGAGCCCGTAAGAGCTATAAAAACGACTCGAGCACTGACTAGAAATTTAAGACCACCACCGTCAGCGGCAACATCTCCGCTACTACGACGAGTACCTACTACTACCTACTCCTGCTGCTGCCGCTGCTGCAGCTCTGCTTCAACATCGGTGTCGGAGGCAAGGAAGCTGTTCCGCTTGCGGGAGGGCGGGCGTGGGGTCGCCCGATCCAAGAACGGTTTTTCGTTTCGGTCGAGACTCATCCGTCCGTTCGTCCGTCCATCGAGTCGTTCTGTTCTGATGCTGGAATATAAGCAGGAAGACGACGTGCAACCGACGAGGGCACGCCTCTCGTGGCTCAACAATGCGAACAAAATTACACAGAGCTACCAGTGTCGAACTCTCTTGAGCGTCGGTCCGTCCGTCGGTCGCTCGGTCGTTTGATCGTACAGACTACGCGTGAAGAAGGGTGGGAGCAAGGTTGCGCCAGGCGTGAAACAATCGACAGCGTACTCGGTTCTCATGCTCAAATTCGGCCATCCGGCTGTCTGGTGCGCCTGCCAGAATTGTTTGCTCTGTCGGGGATAGCGGGCGAGAGAAGAGTAGAATGCCAAGATATCTAGGGAACGGAGTCAGAACGATGAAGAGGGAAGCGATCCAACTCCTAATCCCGTCTCGACGGTGTGTCGAAGGTAATGCTAAGAGCAGTAGTTTCAGCAGCAGCAGCAGCAAATAACACGCGACGCGACTTCGCGAGACGATGGGCGGTTACGCTTATTCAGCGAACACCGAGCGAACGACCGACCGAGCGACCGACCGACCGCACTAACGACGACAAAGTAAATGGAGCCTGCCTTCGAAGCATGATGCAGCTGCTACTTTGACTGACTGAATGACTGACTGACTGAGAGGCAGTTCGCGCAATTGATCTCTTTCCATTGCAACGAATAACACTTTTCAAATATTATTAAACTTGAGCGTCGGGAATTCGATGTTGATTTTCTCTTTGTTTCCGCGAGAACTGCCCATTCTCAACACGAATCGGGTAGAACGCAGTTTGAGTGGCGCCTTGGCTAAGCGTTGGCCCTCCCCGGCAGAAATCTCATTGGCCAGCGTTTTGTCGCTGCGAACACCTTCTTCTAGGCATACTATGTCCGAAGGCCGTCTGCCATAAGCTTTTAACAAGGGGATTAAACGGCACTCACTCGGTGTACTTGAGTCCATTAGGGAGCAAACAAAAGGATGACTGACTTCTCGGCAGCGCGGCGGTCGTCTTCACGTTTGAACAATCAAACCAGAAGAACCATAAAGCGTCGATGACAGACCTCCGAAACAGTTTAGAGGAAGGAAGAGAAGCAACACGTTCTTCTTCACCTTTATAGCCTATTCGAGTTACCCAACCGGATGTTTGATTCGAGATGTTTCTGACTCTGGAAGTTGTCGCCCGAGGTCGAGCGAGGATTTTCCGCGGTCTCCGGATACGAATGAGACCCGGGAGGAGGTACCAATCTGAGCGAGAGAGTCCGATGTCGCCAGTCCGCTGTGGCTGGTCGTTGAAGAGTGCGACCGCGGTCATCGCGTCATTCCCGCGCACAGAAGGAAATAATCGTTCAGAAGAAGCTTTTAATGATATGTCACGAATAGGATGCTCTGATTTGGAGACTTTATGAAGCGGACACGACCGCGAGCACGACGACCGACGTTCCAATGTCCGGGAATATTGACGGCGCGGCGCGACGCGCCGTTGCCTGCCTGCCTGCCGACGAACGAGCGAATGAACAAAGCCATAAAAAAAGCTTGAAGTCCATCGGGTGTGGTAGTTGCAAGCGATATCCGGTATCTCGGATCGATCGAGCCGAGTCTCCGCTCTCCGGGATTCCACTCCCCCAGTCGGTTGGCGCATGCTGGAAACTCGGGCCGCATACGCGAAGGGGGACGACAAGAAAGGAGAAACAAGAGGAAGAAAGTGAAGGAACCACTGGCGGGCCCAGCATACGCCGCCGGTCGTAGAATTGACACGGACTACCAAAACCACTCGATCGTCGAGTAACTGCGGAAAGTGGTACCGATAAGCCGCCGCTTCTTTTTCCATGCTATAATATATTTCTGTTACACCAGATGAAAGCAGATAAGCTTGGCTCGCTTTGCTTCTTATCGCTCCATATATTCGATGCGAACGCTTTTTTGTAGAGGACCTGTGCCTGTGTTTGGTGGTATATCTTCTACTTTTCTCGGAATCGCCACTCCACAGAAGCGAGAAGTGAAAAAAATCGTCATTCTTGCTTTTGTGGTCACACACACACACACGGAGACACACCAATACTCATCCTGCCAGTCGTATAAATCGATTTGGGCCATTCAAGAATTGATCCAAACACATCCTCGGCAAGCGGCGGCTTCTCCACCGGTCATCAGGGCTATCGGTGCCAGGCCGATTGCCTCCCTCCCTAATCAGACTCGATTCGCCTTCGATGGCTGCCTGCTCCGATCAGTGATTCCGAGCGAGAGAGAGAAAAAGGAGAAGAAAACTGCATGCTACGATATACAGGCCGTTACCATCCTTGCCAATGCCGAGAAGATGTCCTGGTTAAGATTTCCTGGGCGAGAGATCACCCGGAGTAGAACAGAGAATTAGGAAGGATCGAATTCCGACAAAAATCGTAAAATAAAACGGTGGGTGCTCCGAGTATTTGTGCGACAGATCCGTGAAACGCATTCGAGAACTATCACCGAGAGAAGTTTCGCCGCTGAACCCTCAGCCCATCGAAACGCTACTGCTCCTGGCAGTGTGGCGCTCGCTTATCGGCGGTTTTGAAACTCAAGAAAACCGCGGAGAGAGAAGAAACGTGTGGGGTGTGAGCCATATTCTCGTCGTGATCTTTATTGCGTTAGTGTTCCATCATTTTGTCGTTACCCGCGCTATTTCACATCGTGTTTTTCATGCCGCCGAAGTCGTCGCCTCCATGCCGCGGTCGATATCGCACGCCGAGGTAATGGCAAGCACTTTCAAATGAAGCTTCGGTAGCCGACCAGAAAGATCGACGGAGGGACGTACGGACGGACCGGCGGGCACACAGATCGATGGACAGATCTCGTGATGACTTTCACGACTTGACCGTTTTCAAGCGCGGTAGCATCTCGTTGTTGCTGTTGTTCGATTTGGCTTCGGTTTTCGGTATTGTGATCATCATCAGTGACGGAGTCTCTCTGCGATCGGCGAAGGCTCGAGGATTCAATCCCACACATAGACTGAAGGACCGTGTGCCGATTTTTCTGTCGTCGCATCACGTATTTGGTGAAAACCGACCGTGGCCGAGTAAAGACCTCGGAGCTGATCGATCGGCACTCTCGGGTGGAACTCCGATGTCTCTGGGGTCTATTTGCCATTGGGAGTCTCCAGAAAGCCGGGAACTCCGGATATCGTTTTAACCCGGTTCGTGGTAAATCCCATCGGAATCTTCGGGCGAGTGGGCAAGGAGCTTCAGCACCGCCACCCTTCCGTGAGAAAGGAGTCGGTATCGATACGCTGACCACGACTATTCTTCTCGAAATCACTCTTCGATTCGACATTGTGCGCTATCGTTTCTTCTGCGGGCATCGCGTCGTGACGCGCGATCCGTGGTGCTGCTAAATGGCAACGGAAGACCTTCACCCGAACTCTTTCATGATCGATTCCTTTGAGTTGAGGTTTTTCTCCCGCCTTTCCGAGAGGCTCATGAGATAAACCCGCTTGTCGCAGGCGGGTGTGCTGTGAGTCGTGACCTTGCTTAGGAGTTTCGTTCTCTCAAATGCTCTGAACACGTGCCATATAATTCTTTCTTCCTCTCATTCCAGATCCGGAATCGTTTAGGGTGTTACGAAGAAATCGTAGCCGTGGACAACAAAAAAATTAAATACTGCAACTGGGTTCGCTTCCTTCGCGTCGTCACATCGATGACCGAAGAAGTGAATCTCATTGCAACGATCGCGCAGGGCGAGACGATCTTCGAGAGTATCGTGGAAATTCCCCCCGGCGGTGAGCTCGTGGCGTTCCTCGACAGACGAGAAGGGAGTCCCCCGTCCCTTCCACCGAACTTCGCCCTCCACCGCAGCGTCAACTTCATGCAATACCGAAACGGTATGGGCAGCATACTTGAAGGTGAGTGTACGAGGTATTCCGTATGTCTGCGCTACTTCCAACCAGCTGCTCTGGAATCCAGAGACGGGTGTCGAATTGAAACGACACCACGGAAATTACGTGTAGGTATATACGGTCATCTGCGCACACGCCGCGTCACGCATCAATGCGTCCGTGAGCTAGCGACAAAATTCTAGCTGTTATCCTCCAAGAAACGTGCGGGCTTGGTTTTTGACATTTTTTTTCTCAACTCTCTGTCGAAGTTTCCGTTGATCCGTCTCTTCGCTTGTGTGCTTTCTGAGGCGTCCGAAATCGTATTTGAGCTGGTGCAAGTCGCCGGGCCGACCGAAGAACTGATTGGCGGACGATCCGAGTCGTGGACAGTCGCAGTCGGATCGCCCACTCGTCAATAAGCCAATCATCGGACAGAAGGCAGTCAGTCACTCACTCGCTCAATAGAGTGTTTTAGCCCTCTTTTTTTGTTCATCTGTTTGTCCGTCCGAAATTTCGTGTAAGTGTCTGCCGGCCCGCCGCCTGTCAACGCTACGTCGAACTGAGTGTGGATGTCGACCATCCCTGCGAACGAGCGAGCGAGCGAGTTTGTGTGACATGATCTAATCCGGTAGTCAACAACCAGAAGCCACAGACGTCGGTCGGTCGCCTGGGACAAGAAGAGCATCTGCAGCTGAAAATTATACACTTTGGCGAACAACAGTGGCTGCCACAGCAGCAGTAGCCGCCGCGACGGCGGCGACGGCCAGCGCCGAAGATGAAGAACCGCTTCTGCACCTCGTTCTATTCGTTTCGTATCTGCCTTTCGCCTTCTCTCTCTCTCTCCGGGCTTCTTGTGTTCTGCCGAATCCACTCGAACACCATGTAGTTCGCTTGTCCGTCGGTCCGTTTGTCCGTCCGTCCGTCCGTCGATCGCTCTGTCCGTCAGTTCGTCCGAGGGTCCGTCATGAAGTCTAATTGCCTCCTATCTCACTGCGGTTGAAGACATCTGTTAATTCACGCACAGCGATGCGGCTCCTCTGAACAAGTAGGATCGACCGCCCGACGGACTCTCGCTCGCTGGGCCGACTAGTTGGCAGCCTGTCCGGCGGTCTGGACGGCGATCTGCATTATGATAGACAGCATCAGGTCGGGAAAATATGAACTGGTTTCTGGGGGCTTCTGCGTTTTTTTCCTTTGGCACCGCGATGGAATCTTGGACAGCATGTGCGATACTCTTCGTCGCTCGCGCGGTCAGGCAGGCAAGCAAGCAAGCAGAACACTTGCCTATCGGCCCAGAAGAGTCGCGCAAAAATTGCTCGGGCAGAGACGCAGGAAACAGGTCTCTGTCGTTTGCGAGATGGACGTCGCAGTAATTTATCAGAGCCGCGCCAGGAGGACCTTATCTCCGAAACTTCCTCGAAAGCATTTCCAGCGTGAGGGAAAGGGAGAGAAATCCGTCCTCGGTACACCGAAACGCTATCCGATGGCGAGTTGTTATTCTTAGCGTGGAACCAACGAATGGTTGGAAATGAAAATTTGTGACTCCTGAGCGAGCCGATCGCCCCGATGTTCGAGTGAGTGACGGATGAACCGACGGTCGTACCGACGGATGAATGAACGAACGGACCGACTGGCTGCCCGCTGCTGTAGAAACTGTTGCCATCGCGGTCGAATGATTAAGTCTTCAAGTAGCAAGTGACATCTCATTGAATAGAAGCTTTGCTATGCTAATACTAATTATGTGTTTGTGTTCGCGTCCTGTCGCGACCATTCACTCACATGGAGTGAGACGCGTTGTTACGTGAACATTCGGTGCGAAGTGTCACAGAGCGAGAGTTGTCAGCTGGAGTGGTTTTCCGTCGGTCGGACTTGAACTTCTATCGGAACGTTGTCGTTCCTCTGCATTTTTTTATGATTTCAATCCGCTCTGCTTTTGCGCCATTCATTCGGAACGGAAAAATTGAAATGGGACATGGGCGCATAGATTTGTTATCGCATCGAATGGAAAGCTTTTACAGACGCGCGGCTCTCCTCGAGACCGGCATTCGTCCTATCGGCGCATGCGATGCATTTTCCATTAATTTATCTCAACTGATTCTTCGGGTTGTATGTCGCGCATAACACACAACGGAGCTGCGAAGCGTTCAAACGGGGCTCGGACGAATAGAATCTCACCGGATTGTTTGATTACTGATCAATCCGTGTGAACCTCTGGTGGAATGAACGTCGTCGAGATCGAAATTCCGCAGCCGTCCTCCGGATGATGATGAACCAAGTAAGATTTTCGCTGAAAAAAATATATGTGCGCCATACACGTAAGGCGGCGCTTCTCGCGAGCTTCTCAAATCTCGTGCGACTATTGTTCCGGCTGCCTGTTATAGGTACTCATGTGTTCCGGAGGATTCCGGTTTGCGATGCGCTCGATCAGCACGCGCTCGACAATGCTTTCGTACCTATGGTCGGATGTCGGCGTAAATTGAAAAACTCATCACCGCCGCTGTATTGCTTTTTCAATTCCCAATCCATCGGAACTGGCGCGGCAGCGCTCGGAGCGTGCTGCCGGACGGAAGCTCGGGAAGGAGAGCGACCAGAAGAAAAGAAAAAAAAGCGAACATGTCTGTTAACAAAAGTTTTCATTTGGCAACTCATTCCGCCAACAGCTCGGTCAGTTTCTCGGTTCGGAATTAGGAAACAATAGCTATTGAACAGTCTTTCCCGATGCCCGATAAGCGCGAGCTCGGTGTTTCGGTGCAATACGTGATCGAGCCCTCCTTTTTCAACTTTTCTCGGTCTTTCTTGTCTTCTCGTAGATGCATGCATGTTGTTCCCGCTCCGGGCGTTCGCTGCGATCGCCACCGAAATGCCCGTAATTCCACGAACTTTCGCTGTCGTGATTCATATGGCACGTCAGTCGTTGGTTATCCATCGACGCCATGCGTGGTGTTGGACATTAGCGGCTGGAAGCATGCTCCCGACGATGGACCGGATCGCCTAAAATGACTCGCCAGTCATCTGCGGTCTCTCTATGGTTCAATTTCGTTCGTTGCCTTCTCGGTCTTCGTCGCAGTCGCCGACTGAATATCTTCGCTGTTTTCTGGTGACACGAAAAGCGAAGCATGCCACTAATCATCATCGCCACAATTGAATCGCTATTTGGATCACTCGCGAGACTCGTAGCTGCGTCGCTTGGAAATTTCTGCTGAATGCTCCCAGTAGAGTTCCGCGCGGAGAGGAATCGGAACGACAGTTCTGTTGATAGATAGCGTCCGCTAGATCCGCTCTTGGCCCAAGGACAACCCGAACATTATTCGGAGAGGAGCAGCGCCGAACGAATCCATAATTTTCATTTTTTCCGAATCGTCCCAGCGCGTACAGTGCTTTTCCCTGTTGTGCCCGAGCTCCCTGTTGAGTTCGATTTTCGGGGGATTTATGACTCGGGCGCTGAAGTAGCAGACACATACTGAGTGAGTGAATTGAAGAGATCCTTACTCAAGATGACGGATGCTCGGTCGATTTCCGCCGTGCCATGCTACCTCTTCGCAGAAGCTCGCTGAATAAAACATCGACACCAGAGGAGGCATGTCACTATCGAAAAACATGAAGCCAGCGCGTTGACAGATTATCGAATTTAAAGCTCTTTCCCGTCGAAAACTCCATGAGTGATTTTAGTAATTTCCATGTGAACTTTCGCCAGTCGGAGCTTGCGTCTCCTCACTTATCCTTCTTCTCGCGCGATTACGGTCGATCCCATTGGAATGAACGAGGAAGAGTCGTAGTGGACGATGCGGGATATGGAATATCCGATCTTCGGGGAACGGATAATCGCGCAGACGGACAAGGACTGCGAAGTGAGTCGAACGTGATAGATTCAATCCCCTAAGATAAGTTTGCCTCTGCTTCCAGAAAATCCTCTTGACCTCTCTCAGTCGCTCGTGGCGGGATCGTCGACACGATCGCCGTCGTCGTCGCCACGACCTGAGATCATGACTCCTCCGTCCGAAGGTCGAAGATCCGCATGCTCCGACCGGAGCGACCAAACCGAGGACCTTCCACTTGGTCTCACGACAGCTTCACCAACTTTCGCTCCACTGCCGAGACTTCCCCGATCTCCTCTAGGTCTCACCACGTTTCCTCCGCTCGGTGGTCTCGCTATTCCACCGACGCAACGGTCGCTCGGACCGAAGAAACCGCGAGAACGGACGCTTCTACCGTGTGAAGTTTGCGGGAAAGCCTTCGACAGACCCTCGCTCCTTCGTCGGTGAGTCTTCGTATTTCCTCATCGTGAATTCCTTCATCTAGAGACGCACGGTGTGCTCAAGTATGGCCCAAGCGGCAACCCCGGGCTCCGGTCTGACGCTCGGACCTCCTTGCAGACACATGCGAACCCATACCGGCGAAAAACCCCATGTTTGTGATGTATGCGGAAAAGGATTCTCTACGTCGAGCTCTCTGAACACGCACCGCCGTATCCACAGCGGCGAGAAACCGCATCAGTGTAATGTGTGCGGGAAGCGATTCACGGCGTCATCCAATCTCTACTACCACAGAATGACACACAGTAAAGTGAGTACCTAGCTACGCGCCTCGTTCACACTGACGAACCGAACGCGTTACGCATTTCTAGTTTTTCATCTCAAGCCACCGAATCAGAAACAATTTTCTCCAAGAGGGGTCCCTGAGATGAGTCGATTGCCGTAGCGAGAGAGGCTTTCATTTCCCTTTTCTGCTTCCTGGTCGGAAAAAGAAACGTCGCCGCCCATACTGGTCCTAGCTGGCTGATTTAGGCGAATTCATGAAACAGACGGTAGCTGCTCTTTCTGCCGCTACCGTCATCGCTACTGCCGGTAGAACATTTAGTGTACAGCTTCTGCTACTCCTACTGTCAGCTTCAGATAGGTAGCTGGTTGGCCACTGCACCTCCTAATGGCCTGCTCTAATCGCTGCTCGGTTCTGGTACTCATTTCGATTTTTCTTTTTGTTCGTTCGTTCCTGATTCCTACTTGCTCACCTGTTGACGGTTGTGGATGCTGCTGCTGCTGTTCAGGTTGATTTCGAGGCTAGCTGAATATAGTAGTCGAATGGCCGACAACGATGTCTTCGGTTTTCGGTGCTCCGCTGTCGGTGGGAGGAGTCGTATTATTGCGTGTTTGTATCGCCTTATGAACACCCGACGTCGACGACGAACAAACCGAGCGAGAGACCAGTTGTCGGAGTTGTCGCGCCAACCACAGATGATAGAATACGGCACGGTCGCGCGTAAGATGAAGGCGACAGATTCTGTCGTCGTCGTGGTTGTGACCGTCGGTGTGACCGTCGCCGCAGTCATTAACAAAAGACCCATATGATCAGAGCCGGTCGCATCTATGCATGCGCATCGCCACCGTATGCTGAGTCAGACCCTAGAAGCGGTCACCTGTCGGCGAATTTCAAACACGGCTTTTCGGGGAATCCTATCTTGGGACTTTATGCTCATAGACGTAAGCCATCGAGTACGTTTCTATGCGGATTAGCTCTTTGCGGGGAAGCTCGCCGCCACTCGTCGGACGAATCGAATTATTGGCTCTCGAAAAGAATCTCATGGAACATTCAGGGTACCGAGTCCGCCGCCTCCGCTCGCTCCTGACGCCTCCTGACGAGCTCATTCATGTTGGCGACGCTTCGCCCCGGAATTCTTCTCCGATTCTCGATCCGGTAGCTGCTGCATTCGGTGCAACTTTGCGTGGCTTGTGCCCGTGATGTTTCTGCATTCTTTCCACGGTATCGTCTATCCTTATCCTTTGATTTCGTCGTCTCTTTATTCGTCACGATAAGCGGGCACTTACTCGTCTATAAAAATTTTCGAGGCTGGCGGCTCCGCGTAAAAGGAGAGTCAACGAAAATAATAAAAGATTTGCTCTGAGCGAGTTTGAGGTCTGCCGCTAGCTTTCACTAACTCGGTCCAGTCGATCCTCATTCCATTGGTTTCGGTGCCTATCTCCGTCGTCGTCGTCGTCGTCGTCGTCTACTTTCACCCCGATAAGACCGTGCCTTACGCGTTCGGCTCGCAAACGTGCCCGCCGACTCGGCTTTTCGTCTATCCGCCCTCTTCCTACCTGTCTTTCGACCTGTGCATCTTTTCGACCACCTTCGTTCATCGCTGGCTGGCTGGCTGTTTGACCGTCCGTCCGTCTACTCGACCGGCCGAGCGAGCGAGCGACTACGCGACAACCTCCCTTCCTCCATCCGCCTCCTTTCGTTATCTGAGTTTTTTTTCTGCAGCTAAACCAGAAGCGCTAGCTCGGATATCGCTGCGTTTGTGCGACAAGCTTATCGCGACATAGAAGCGACTGTGTCTATATCTAGTATCTTTCGTTTCACGCGGTCTTCTTGCTTTTTTTTCGGTTCCTCCTTCCTTCCTCGCCTTCATTCGGCGGCGATAGATTGTCTGCGAAAACAAATTGTCTCTGATTGTTCCTCGTCGGTAGACCACGGACGCTACCTGTTGATGGCAGTGGCTCCCGACGAATATTCCCGTTCACGTAGAGAAAATCCCGGGACGTCCCTCCCACTCGTTGTCAGTTGTTGTATCAGCGTCCCTCGCTCGAAGACTTCTGCAATCGGTGGCTTCGTCCCTGCCAAATCGTTCTCCGACATGGGCTGCCAAAGTTTCTAGGGGCATACGCCGAGCATGGCTCCATTATTCGAGTTCATTCATTATTCATTGTCGTCTTCGTTTCAGGAGAAACCACACAAGTGCACGCTTTGTTCGAAATCGTTCCCCACGCCCGGTGACTTGAAGAGCCACATGTATGTTCATTCAGGATCCTGGCCCTACAAGTGTCACATCTGTAACCGTGGCTTCAGCAAACAGACGAACCTCAAAAATCACATTTTCCTCCACACCGGTAGGTGATCGAGTTTCGAACGTAGATAGCTTTCGTGCAGTTCCAAGTTTTCAGTTTAGTTCTTGAGTTCGATCTATTGCTACTGACCAGCCAACAGAAAGCTAATGCTGCTGGGTTCGTTCCGTTTGCTCTCGACGTTAACTGAGTCAGATGTCTGCTGAGAGAAAAATTGCCGAGAATCAATATTGTAGAAGTATAATGGCTTAGCTCTTGTAGACCAAGAGAAAAAAGGAGTGCCTGATATTTCTATCGTTGGGGCTGAAACGCGAAACAACGCCGATGCGTAGACTGTGTCTTTGAAAACCATCAATATCACCCACCCGAATCTTGAGCCTCGTTCCCCGGAGATGAACTTCCGTTTGACGTGTTCTCCACGAACCCTCTGCTCCGGAAACCACGTAGAGTGGGTGAGGAACTGGAGACTCCGCATGGGTGGTGTCTCGATGGATGAACTTGTGGAGTGAGATCTCGGAAAATGAGGAGAACCAGCTCTGTAGTCCGACTACCGTAGGCCAGCACAGATGAATTTAAGTAGTGAGCATTACTCGCGGCGGACGACTCCAGAATTTCCGTGCGCTGTTTCTTCTCGTCTCTGTCATCTATCTTCTCAAGCTTCTGCTGTGGAAGGTTTATCTGCGCACGGAACTGGATGCATTTTAATTCATTCGAAGCTTACGAAACTCGAACAAACATTTGTGCGCGGTGAAACAAAGACCGGAGCCGTCAGCTCGTGTGCAGACAATACGCGTGATGAGGACGAGGCAGATTTCCACGAAGATCCGGCGTAACATTACCGAATCGGCAGAAGCCAGTCTGGCCGTAGCGGACTGCAGACACCACCAGAGGAACTTTATCAAAAAGCTGAAATCACGAAAGCCTTCATCGCATGAGACTAGTTACCTAGATCAAATTATCCTTCCGACACACTTCTGCACTTCAGCTTCACGAGGCTGGGAGAGAACAAGTCGCGAATTCGAGCTTCCTTCGAAGTTCATCAGGTGTCCGATCGAACGTTTGGCTGAGCAGCGGCGGGTTGATTCAATAGAGCTTGTTTTTCTCTTTCTGAAGCTCTTAAGGCAGAATGAAGTTAACCAACGCGATCGTGAGCCCGAGGCGTATCGTGATCTCGACGCCATTTGATCTGGGCCAATCGTGAGCTGGCCTTTAGATAATGTTTACAAGTGTATTATATCCGTTTGATGGAATGGAAGGCATTACCTGCTCCTCTACTGCTTCTGTTGCTACTGCTGATGATTTCGGTGCTGCTGCTGCTGCTGTGACTGCATCACAGAAGTTCGGGAGCCGAAACCGTTGCGGGGATATTGACTTGATACTCTGTGCTTTCTGGCTATCGGTGACACCTCAAATCATCCGAATTATCTCGGAACGACGAACTGATTGACGAACAGCCAGTGAACATGAGCGAATTTCATAAGAGATAGACAAGCGTCCAGAGGCCCAAACGGGAATGGAGAAAAAATGAACTGAAGCAGCTAAGATGGCTAATGCTTAACCAGAGAGAAAGCATAACTGTCGCAAAGCCGGCGGATTCCCTCCGAATTGGCAGAATGAGAATGCGAGAGAAGTTCATTTGTACGCTGACCGTCTCAATGAGCGACTGTCGTTCGCCTGATCGGTCGCTCGACTGGCCGCTTAGTTGGTCGGACGGTCGAGCGGACGGTCGCTTTCGGTTAGTCAATCGGTCAGCCAGGTAGTTTCGACTTCGTGCGGAACCTCGGTCAGTCAGTTATCAGAAATCCTAATAAGCTAGATCCTGGTGTCACCTAGCGGGGGGTTCGAAGCCGCGTAATGGAACGCTTAGCGCTCGAATCGATTGAACCACAAGAATTAGTAAATGTCTTTCGCGGAATCAGGGGCTCCGACTTTCGGGCGGGTCCGTTTGCCTTTGCGTAAACCCAACGACGAATAACAAAAAGACGTGAGAGAGTAACGAAACAACGAATGTAATTCCGTCGATCGTACTCGAAAACTCTCCGATTCCTACGGTGTCGGAGTTTTGTCAAAGGCGTCGCGGAAAGATCCGGACGAAGACAAGCTATGATCACACGGTTTTGGAGAAGCGAAACTCGATTTGAGCCATCACGCAAATCGCTTCGGTGCTCGTCGGCTCATTGTGGCGTGCGTTGTTGGCTCTGAGAGGATCAGGAGCGGTTATCGAGGCCCTGTCGTTGTTGTCGATGTCGACTGACTGTCTGTCTGACAGCGAGCCAGCCAAGCAACCAACCAGTCAGTCAGTCAGTCGACTGTGATGGCGCCCTCAGGTCGTCTCGTGGCCAAGGTGCTGCCCTTGCTACCCTCTGAACGCTTACCTCGCTCGCTCGCTCGCCCACCGTCAGCTTCGATTGAACTCTGGTCGCAGATGTTAGAAGCTAAGCAAAGCCAACTCAACCATAGGGGCGGACTTGATCGTTAGCGGTGTCGTCGGATCACGACCGTCGTGCGCTGACGAGTTAATATGAATCCCGAGGATCGACGCGAGCAGATCACAGATAGTCACTACACAGTGACTGACACACTCAGAGCGACCGACGCGACGGTCGGCAGAGCTCATCGATCATGCTTGCAGAAGAAGAGAGGAACCTTTCGATTCGATCTGGCTTCTGGCAGAATACGGATGATTCTTTTCTTCCTCGTTCTCAAATTCGCCCGTCACCCAACGCAACGATCGAGTCGTCGGTCTGTTCCCTCGGCGGCCGGCCGCACGTCGCTTCATGAACTAGTCAAAGTCGATGTTGCCGAAGCTGAGGCGGTATGGCCCTCGAACTTGATGACGGTGGTGAGTAGATAGCGATCGTGTGAAGATCCTTCGACCCGCTGAGTCTTCGAGGGCGGTCATTCATTGAGAACAAAATCATCCCCAATCCAGCCATCCCCGATCGCTTCAGAGACAAAAAACCCGACGACAAAAAAAAGCCAAGCGCATCAGAAAATTCGCGCATTTTTAAAACACCACCCTTCATCCTTTTTGCTGCTGTTTTGACAGTTGGCTTGCCCGTCAGCGACGACTCAGACAGCACGCTAGATACATACATAGCGAGTCGGATCGAGCGACCCAGCCCAGTCGAGCACCATTTCGACCGATAGCCGTTTCGGCCGGCCAGCGCGCAGTTAGCGGTTAGCCAACTTTCCTCGCCGGATCACTCTCGATCTGTCCCTATCTATTCATCTATCTACTATCTATTTATCCACCCATCAATTTATTATCTATCTACCTGACTGACTGACTGGCTGGCTAGCCGGTGGGTTGGCTACCGGGTTGGCTACTTCTGCGGCAGCCAAGACGCTATCAAATTGATTGGTTTAAAAAGATAGCGCTGGAGGAAAAGGCAGCAGCGTGATCTATCGGCCCCTATTTACAAGCAATTATCCGCGGAATATATATTTGCGATAACAAACGAGATGAGAACGACCCGAGAAGAGATTTCGTCCAGTCAGAAATCGCCGTTCCTCCGCCAATCGAACCGAAGACTGTCGCCTCCGAAATCATTTGTTTCAATGAATCGCTCGCTGGCTCGCGTAATTTTCCGATGTCGAATTCCGCCGCTCGGCGTCGCTTGAGTCCGACTCGGAAAGCTCCAATACCGTCCAGCCCATGAGAGGAGGGGAGCCGAACGGCATTCGGAATCGACGACAAACACAGCCCACAGGCCTTCATCAAAATACCGTGGGAATTCGCATTTCTCATGATCCGCATTTCGGAGTAGAGAACAATGCACGGATAACCTCCTGATACGATGTCCGAAGTGTCCGAGATAAACGTCGATGGGAATGTCCTCGCTACCTACGGGAGCCTTTCACCATCGGATAGGTCTCTGAATCGCGGAGATCGGCGCTGGCTGACTGACTGACTCGCGTAAGCTCGGAGGAATCGGAATGTCGGGGAAAGCTTAGAAGACGCGGGAACCTCGCTCTCGTCTTCATGAAGAATGATAGGAATTGAGTCTGTCGCTCGCCTATCTCCCTAGAAAATCAGCCCGTATTGCGGAAAACCATCGATCGCATACAGCATGCGCGCAGCGATTCTCAGCACTAATGCGGGCAAATTCGCTCGATCTGCCATCGGAGTTGGCACATACACAACATGCAGGCCGTCTACCTAGCTAGTCGATCGGCCGACGGAGGAGACTGAATTTCCGTGAGCAGACTGCCCGGCATCTTATCTGTACTACGCGTACATCGGTGCAGGAGAACATGTGCTCCTATCGGGAGATTAGGAACCGACAGGTCGAAGAGATGCATCTGCTAACACCACAGAGACCGTGTAGTACGTGCACGCATCACGGTCACGGTCGCACGCTCGCTTGCTTGCTTGCTCCTATCGAACCCTTAGTCTGAACTGAATCAAGACTGTTTCCGCAAAAAGGTAGCCGGCTCAACAACGACGCTCCAATCGTTGACGTTCTGCCCACTCGACGGATCGAATGTCACTAAGTATACAGCGCTAGCTTCACTAGGCCAAAGTCAGTCGTGCTATGTAATCAATTGACCGCAAGCCCCCTCGGTGAGAGTAGGCAGATGCTGTCGCCGATGTTGTTCCGAGAATTGTCCCGGATGCAGAAAGCAAGTAGTCGGGCTAAAGTGTATGCACGCTGTTTTGACCCCTGAAATTACAGACTACAGGTTGGTAGTAGCCGACCGTCCGACCGAGCGAGCGACCGAGCGAGCGAGCGACCGATCGCCGACAGGGAGACTAACACGGACCATATGAGAGCAAATCGATTTTGTTTACTATAAGCCTCGGGCTTACGGCCTGGATGAATTCCGGGAACATGTCAATCGTGACGTCACAATGGACGGTGCCCTTTAGCGTGTCGACGAAATGCGTCATATCGTTCCTGTTCGCTGACAGCCCAACGCTGAGCTCCGTGAGCGATCGAGTCGACAAAACGAGCATCATCACATGGAACATGATCGGCGGTACCCACGTACATAGTTCTCGAGTTATCCGTTGCGTTAGTCGCGGGACGACCTTCAGTCGATCGACCTGACGTCGTTTGTCTGCTTTCCCGGATTCATCCATCCGGAGGAGATTGCTCAAGTGGCTTCCTCGATCGTCGACAATTCATCCTCGTCGTCGACGTCCACCGGAGCGTCAGTCGAGAAAGCTCTCCGTACTCTTATCTAGCGGAGCAGCAGAAGAAAAAAACGTTCAGGACCGTTCGACCGCATTACGTGGCAGAAAATCATAAATAACAAAATCATAGAGATGCCTTCTGTCGCTGCGGCTGCTGCTGCCGCCGCCACTGCCGCTGCTGCTGGGAGTTCTTGGACGTCGTCTTCTCGTCTTGCCTGATTCGTTGAGTCGCAGAAGCCAATTATATCGGATTCTAGCAATAAATTGTTGTAGAGGCGAGACGACAGCGCACAGTAGCTTTGCTTCTCGCTCTTGATTCGGCTGTTGCCGCCAGTTCTGGCACCGGTAGCGCCGCCGCCGCTGCTGCTGCCGCTCAGGAACGAAGTAGAAAGTCGATGATGCTGATGGAGATGAAGAAGACGACGACGACGAGAGAAAGAAGACGAAGCGCGACCACTAAAAGCAGGCGGGCGGGCAATGCGATGCTGCCGCTACTGCTCAGGATGAGGATACTGATGGTGGCCTCTGTGGTCATTTTTAACCCTGCTCGTCTCGTGTCACTGACGCAATCGAAGGTCCAGCGTTCATCGCTTCGAACGATTAATTTTTCCTCGATTCCCCATACCGATTTCAATGCTGACTTCATGTCGAGTGCTGAAAATCGGTGCCTGCTCTAATTAACGTGATCGTGCTTCGCAACCCAGATAAGAAGAACCCTTCCACCTGTTCGAAAATATCCTTCTGAGAGTGTCCAACTCCCGTCTTCCCCCGGTCGTAATCGGGGACGACTATCCTCTCGGTAATCTATCGACAGCCAGATCACAATCCACCAGTCTCAATTTCTTCTCACACGACAGTAGTTGTCGACAATGATCTGCTCCGAGCGAATTGCTGCTCATCTTCGGACAGACGCAGACGATACTTCAGGGAGCGATCGTTTCGCAGGCCGCTTCTTACTTGTAATCAATTGTTGCTTTGACTGTCGAGATTCGGAGAAACTGAAACAAAGCTCCAGTGTGTGAAGTCTACCCGTGTGCGAACAAGCGAACGTTACATGGCAGATAAACGAATATGCTTCCCGGTATTTTGGCCGTGCGTAATCGGGGTTCGCGCCTCAATGAGCCTCACGGTTAGGATCGACGTCGGATTCGTCGACGAAATCGAAGTCGACCGAAGCTTCTACGAAAACTCAATCTCGACGCAAGGACCAGGTGGTGGCATTGCCGGCGGTAAATTTCCACGCTATAGCCGGTAACTTACTGGGCCTCAAATAACGAGAAAAAATATCGAAAGAAACAAGAGGATCTACGGGCAGCTCCTAAGCACACGATCAAATTCACAATCGAGCTCGAACACGCACAGGACCTTCGTAATAGCCGGCAGCCCGTCGCGACCAAGTATGCAGGGTATCCGGAGGCGGACGGATCAAGCGTATCTATCCGAAGTCATTTAAACACCTACCTACCTAGTTAGAACGCTCCCCGAGAAGTCAATTCAGCATTCCTCAATGATCTCCGGACCTTTGGACCTTGTCTGGGTTGAACGTGTCCTCAACGGGGATCGGAGAGGAGTTTGTTGAGCTGGGGACATCTATCTCCACGGATCGATGAGTATTAAGTGTTGTTGGTGGTGGTGATGATGGTGGTGATCGTGACGCTCGTCGATTTTTTGTTCGCACGCAAAAATCAACGCTGAGGAGACCCAAGCTTGTCTCCAAGTCCAGTGCTCTTCAAATTTCGGACGGGGCCAGTCAATTCGCAATCTTCGACGCTGTTCGTTCAGTCTCTTGTGTTTTGAGTGGCGGCTGTCGAAGCCAAGACCAGGTCCATTTTTGTTGTCTGAGGTTATCCTTCTGACAGGGCGCTATTAACCTTCTGCTTCGGCTGCCACGGTAGCTGAACGAACGAAGGAGCGAGCGAGCGATTGCTCGCTTCGCTCATTCGTCCGTCCGTCCGCTCGCTCGTTCGCTGACGGCTTACATGATACATTTTTAGACAAGCACTAAGCCTGAGAGAGAAAAGCGAACCAAATGTCGTGGACATCGACGATTTTGGCAGCCGACGACGTCGACGACAACGAGGACGTCGTCGATGGTAACGCCAACGACCAGATATACATTCTCCACAGCACAGCGGCTCACCTGTTTCCTTTCACGTTATTCCAGGAGACAAACCCCATATCTGCGAAATTTGCAACAAGCGGTTCGCGCTCGCTTGCAACCTGCGCGCCCATCTCAAAACGCATGAAGGTACGTACCGAGCTCGACGTGATAATCGGCAGCGCCTACCGCTGGTCACTTCAGAATAGTCGGGGAACTCTTCCTTCCATCTCCACGATTACTCGTTCGGATTTCCGTCATGTCTGGACTCGGATGCGACGCTCCGGCTCCCCTTTAGGATATCGGGAATCTTGTGTGTTCGTGAAAAATTCCTTTTCCCTTGCTCAGCTGGAACAGTCGACAAAAGTGAATACAATGAGCATGTCTCTTGGCCGCAAGTTATGGGGCTGTGTCTGAATTCCGGGAAAGAAGCAATGCGAGTTCTGTTGAAAAGTCACAAGCGGAATCTGTTGATAAGCGACTGTTTCTGGGAATCGGAAGAATGGGCCATGCTTGGGGCAACGTAATTCTCATCAATAAAGCTCGCTAGGAACGGGCGTTGTTGTAAAATCTAGTCTGCTCTAGCTTGCTTTGTCAATGTGATAGCAACCCGAACATTCTTGAGATAGTCTGGTCATTCGGGGTCGTTATTGTTGTTATCGTTTGTTTATAGCCACTCGCTGTGGTCAATATAGCTGACTTTTGTCGTGATAGCGTCGCGCGAACGGTAGCGCACGTCTAATCGCAGCGGTTCTCGCTGGAGTTGCGATTTTTCAATCGTTCTAACTCGGGTTCCTCAGTCAGACGCGTGCGCGCTCACCGGCCAGCCCGTCAAGATGCCTGGTCGGCCCTTCCTCTACAAATATTTAAACCACAAAGGGCGGTAACTCGGGAGCACATTACCAGAAGAGCGAATCTGTAGAGAAATAAGAGAAATCAATCTTCACGATTAAGGAAGGGCTATCCTTTATTGAACGATGTCTCGATAGGGGCCGATCGGCTGGTCGCTCCGGCCAGGCGGCCACCGACTTAGTAGTCAGTCGGTCGGCTTGGTGCTCGCGGTCGCTTTTTTTCCCGCACTTAATTACTGAGTGTACGCCTCTCGGACTGCCTCAGGCCGAGTCGAGGACAATTTCCGATGTTGTAACCGCTACCGTCAGTAGATCTCGCGTCCGATACTGGCTGAAGAGCGGTGCGTCAGCCACCGAAAACCTCCGACCGTGTCGTGGTGGTTTGCCACTTTTAAGCAGAGTATTTAATGATCGTGGGGACGCTCCAACAGAATTTCGCGATCAACGCCTTCTGATCGACCACAGAATCGGATTTCTCATCTTCATTTCTTTCTCTCGTTTACAGAACAAACACAGCTCGAGAAAACCCAATGTCCTCAATGCGACAAGTTTCCCTGCGAGTGCAAAGCGGTCGAGAAAGACAAGGACCTGGAAGAGCACTCAAGCGACGGCGCCTCCGATTCCGGGTCCGAGATCAACAACAAGCCCCCGGGATCGGCTTCCGACAAGCCTCCTCATTTCAACCTGTTCGGATCCATGCTGGACCAGATGATGCTGGCCAGTTATCAGCAGCAAATGAGCGCCAACTATCAGCAGCAGATGAGCGCTCTGCGAGCTCTCAAAATATTCCAAGAGGGCGGTTTCGCTCTACCTACGCCTCCGTGATCTCCCGCACTTTCCTCCGTTCCTTCCTCCATTCCCCCTCCCCCCGGTCGTTTCTACAAGCTGTCCATACAAAGCCAGCCCGCCCGCCCGCCAGCCGCCCGACCTGTCGATGGAGCAGCAAGATTCTACAGCTAGATTCTCTTATTTCTGAAACTACCGCAAGCGTGTGAAGATCTTCGTGCCACAAATGTCTCTGATGATATGCCTCCCGATAGCCTATCTCCCCTCTATCTTCCGAATGAATCCACGCAGACGAGTGCCACGCCTCGGCCGTCGCGGTCATCTGAACGTCGACGTCGTCGAACTGGTAGTGAGCCGATAAATTCAGAAAGTTGACCGACTGAAGAAAAATCAATAGGGTAGAAATTGAAGATACGGTCGTTTCGCGAGAGCCTCTTATCGTGGCATTCCTTCGCTTGCGGTAGCGCGAAAGGTAACGATCTTAGGCTGTTATGTCGATGTGGGAGCGCTCGACGGATTGCCTTCTCGGCTGGCGCTCAAGTTCCTTTAAGGCGTCTCCGCGCCGAGTAATGTTGTCTCATCGAATGGAAAGATCCATATCGTCCAAGAAGAATCAGAGAGGAAATAAGCGATATAACTTCAAGTGTATAGAATATTCGCATCCAGCTGAACACCTCTTCGTACGAAAGAACGTGTGCCGTTCAAGTATCATGACAAAAATAGGGTAGGGTTTGTAATCTAGTCTTTGAATCAAATAATTGAATAGCGCAGCAACTGACAATGATCAACGTATAGGTGATAATACGACGATACAGCTCTAAGAATAATTCCTTATTTTATTTTGACGCGAACAGCTGGGTTGACTTGTGTAAATAATTCGCATATCCACATACGTATGATCCCTGAGATCAAGGGAAAATAATTATAATAAGGATGCGGTAATAAACTATTTTCAATTCAATTCCCCGCGACAGTTATTTTACCCTTCTCGCACAGATGTGACAGGTTCAAAGAGCGCGCCCCCGGTGGATCCTCATCCCAGCTAAATATTTTTGATCGAAAGACCCTCATCATAATTGAACGGGAAGGAAAGAAAGGAATTGGAATGGCGTATACCGGTTTCCCGATGAAGTCGACGGACATTTCTCGACGGGTAGGAAGAGCAGTGGCTTGGAACTTGTAGACCTCTGCACTCAAGACCACTTACAAACCCGGCCTAACGAAGCCAGCGCTCAGAACCGCTCGTCGAAAGTTATCGACGAAGTGTCTATTGTCGCGACCACTAGCTCAAAAGAGGCGTAGATGCTCGACTCGGACAGAAAAGCCGCTGCTAAGGTGGCCGAGTGTAATTACATAGAACAGCGGCAAGAAAATCTGGGAAGTTTGTCGGCATCGAGGTAGAACTGACTCAAGTCCGAATCTGACGTTTAGTAGCAGACATGTAAAGTCCTTTCGAGACAGTCCTTCGATCGATCTGACGAACTTCTTGCCTTACGAGTCGGAACGCCAAGCCGCGTCCGAGCGCTGTCCGTATGGAAGATAATTTTCTCTCTGGCACGAAAATGTTGGGCAAATTCGTTAAACTCCGAAAGGCGCTTTCCAAGTCGTTCGAGTCCATTACTCGAAATATCGAGCTTGGAGCAAATCCCTTGGACTTGACTTGGAGAAATCGAGCCCAAGCGATGTACGGGCTTTTTAAAATCGATGCGAGCACCTAATCCTTCTTCCTAAATTGCTTGTGCACGCAGCGATTCTGTGTGGACATGATTCGGAATACGTTTAAAGGAGCTCCGATACCGCTTCGGACGATGGAACACGAACTCGTGCAATCAATTGTCAGCTTTTCCGCAACAAGCAAGCTATTGTACTGATACGTAGTCCATCTAGGTTCGAGGCGCGGCCGCAACTCCAACGAGCGCTGTCGGCTCATCATGCATCGCCTGATCGTGCTTCAATACAGTCACCAATTTCATTCTGGGACGATGTGAATAATCGGTACGAGCATGAATTTTCACGGACTCGAGCTTCCTTGAGAGAATCGATGTCAGCTGATGGATTGGACTGCAGGCCCTTGCAATCTCCCGACATGCTTCGTTTCCGGTCAGGCTGAGGCAATTTTGGCCGGAGGGCGGCGCTCTCGGCGCGTTGATGAATAATCAAAGTTCTCTCATGGAACAATCGATGTCAGATCAAACAGCCAGCCGTCTTGCGTAACACAGGTAGCACAGAAGCGGGTTCTAAGGCGGGTAGACGCTTGCTGGCCATAGAAGAGAATGTTGCTGCTGCTGGCGAATCTTGGACACTCCCTTGATGCCAGAAGGAAACCTTAGCGGAGGAATGGGATATGCCCCTCTATCAATTATAGCAGCTAGCAGCGGATAAGAAGCAAAAGAAGATGATGACGATGACGACGCGGAGCAGAACAACTTCTGATCTGACATGATTCACATTGCTTTGATGGAGAGATGATGGAGTGCTCGCCGCTCGATGCTTCGGGAGGAATTCTCATGAGATGCGAACGAATTCCTGCATTGGAGCGACACATGCGCAAACCCCGAAGATCTTGTGGATACTTTTTCCGTGGGATCCGATTCCCAATGCATCTTCTGAAATCTTCGTCCGAGGAGGTCCCGGCTCCCTATGATAGTTAGTTTCTCATGTGCTTCCCCGGATTGGACTTATCGACTTGGAATCGAGGAGCAACGATCCCTGACAATCGTTAATGTATCGCTCCGAAGACCGGGCTAACAAATCTGCTGCGAAGCTTTTGAGCGATGAAACCTAATGTATAGACAAATATAGCTGGCTGTCGAGTCACGAAGTGTGAGAAGCACGACGTGTAAAATGGCTAATCATCTACCGGTAGAGAAGGAGTCTATGAGTTTTCAGATGAGACAAGACAAGCGAGCGAAAATTAGAGCCACTTGAGACTTCCTATCGAGAACTCCTAAGTGAGGCAAGCTTCGTATTTCGCGAAGGCACTCACGATTCGCTCACGAGGTGTTCAGAAGAGAAGTTTCATTATTCGCCGTGACACTCGCCCTTAACACGAAGCGCTGAACGCATGCCATGGACCCATCCGCATGGGTTTTCTTGCAGATCGCTCGTATCCTCGAACATCCTCGCTCGTTTCCCACTCAAACGTTTCTTTCACTACTACCGCTGGAACCCGGTTTCCGAGTGCTACCCATTCATCCATCCATCAGAGATCTCGATCTCCATAAATTGCTAGAAGCCGGGTAGGTATCGGCTGAATTAATTTCTGTCGAGCTCCTTCCAGGCGAGAGATAAACGGGAAGTTGACATCGTACGATCGGCTTGGGATTCGAGCAAGTGCGCCGGCGAGTCTAGTCCGAAGGCGGCCGGAGCGAGTTCCACAACTGTCGCCCCGAAAAGAGAAGTTTCGGATCGGGCACCCCTGTGGCCCGAATATCCGTATTTCTTGGCACGCACCACTTCGGAATGGCTTGCCTTGCTCGGGACTCGTGTCCTTTTTGAAGTGCACCCGGGGTAGGCCCCCTCTCTTGAGTATGGGCTGACTCGACCGGATTCCAGAGCGATCTCGTTAGAGATGAGATTCTCTATCAACGATGGTCGTCGATTGTTGGATCCCATATTTGTGGTTATTTCTGTCGATTGGACGAGGCAACTCCGTCCTAGTGCGGTGCCTCGGGAAAGAGACGGTTCTCTCGTAAATTGTCTCTGCGGAAACCCTGGTCGAGAACTCAACGGAAACCTCGACGAGGACTGCGAAGGAAAGACCGATTTTTCAGGACGCGGAAGGCGAAGGGTGCTGGCGACCTTGCGAGATCGTCTGTGCGACGGGGACCCACAAGTGGATGGTAATAGGTAGGGTTCGACTTTCGTCGCGGCTTTTTAGCCGGAAATTCGCGGCATTTTCGGGCTCCAACAGACTGTCTATGGGCAAGCACCCCGCAATGGAACGAAAAATCGCGGTCACGGACCGCGACGAAAATCGAGCCCTAGGCATCGGCATCGACTGTGATTCCATTTGGACTCCTCGCTCGGGGTTCCAGACGAGGTCTTCATCGAGAGTTTCAGTCTCAGAGTTCCCTGTGCCCGAAGTTGCGAATGATCACCCGAATTCAGCGTTCCAATTCATTCAATAAATTTAATCTCCCCTCTTCCGGATTGAAAATGGTCACATAATATGATCGCCATCGTCTCGTTAGATTATAATGATCCACATTGACGAGGACCATAACAATGTTGTCTGTCGTATAAGCGAAAGCTCGGCACTCTTCAGGAGTGTTCCCACATTGCTCCCGAGTCTTCAACGTGCGCCTCTGCCTCAGGAAGAGCCCCGGACTTCGACTAGCGGTCTGAGTTGTGCGAATTCCTCAATTTTTTCATCGGCGAAAGGTTCGACCGTGAGTCGCTCAAGTAGCGGACAAAGGGTCTTGAGCTCCTCGAGGCAATGGTTCGTTATCAGGGAGCAGTTCAATATTCGTATGATCTGCAATTGAGGTTCACCACGGAGAAGTTCAACCAGACCAGAATTTCTTATTTTCCTGCACCTATTGAGATCCAGGAAAGAAAGTTGACCTTCTTGAACATGCGGTTCGTTTAGCTCGACTTCGGGCGAAAGAGACAGCTTCACTGTTTCGCGATCTGGGGATCCGGACTCCTGCGAAGAGTCCATGTCTTCCGCCGGTCCCCAGAGGATCAAGCTTCGAAGACATTCCAGTGAAATGATCTTGCTCACGGTCACATTGGTAAAAACATCGACATCCTTGATGCACAGCTCCACTAAAGTTCTGAATTCGTCAGCTACCGTGACGAACCAATCCGGGTTGATCAAGCTCATAGTGAGCTCGAAGGATCGGAGTTTCGGGAGGCGGGAAATGCCGAGGAAAGTATCGAAATCGTTCCCGAAATCACACGAGTTCAATTGGAGGTGTTGCAGGGTGGGAAGGTTCGCCAAGTGGGGCAGGTGCTCCTCACCCATTTTAAAGCAGAAAAGGCTAAGACGACGGAGCTCCTTGAGTTTGGGCAGGTGTTTGAAGCTCGGACCAGAATACAGACCAGCGCTCCTCAAGGACAAATGCTCCAATTTCGTACAGTTGAGTAGTATTTGCGCAAAATAATCGTTGTTAAGATTCCGAGGCCTAAAGATGTCCAAGAGCCGCAAGTTCGACATAGTGCTTAGAGCCTCGAAGGCCTTGCGAGTCAAACGACCGCCCCAACCCAATCTCAAGTCTCGCAGTCGTTCAGGGGCTTTGTCTGCAATGCTCGTGACGTGGTCGTCGCTCAGTAAGTCCAAGAAAGACATATCCGAGTTCCATTCTTGTTCGAGCAGGAAGGGAGGATTCCTCCGGGGTTTACCATCGTAGCAGCCGGCCGATATCGACTCCAGGTTAGGCATCGCGTCGAGCAAGCGTTCAAGTGTCCTCGTCGACATTTTGGCTTTCGGTGATACATGTTTGATGCCGGAGAACGCCACGCGCAGCGCTTCGAGACTGACGGTGTCAGGGAGCTCGAACAGGCTGGCGTTGCCGATGGTCTTTGCATCAGAGGAGTCTGTGGAAATCGAGGCCATGTGTTATAGAGATTACCCGTCTCGCGAAAGCTCCGATGATGATTCTGGAAGCTCCATTCTTGACCTTATGATTATCGAAATCTTCCGGACGGCGTGAACCTACTTAGACGAGGAAGCTCGGAATTCACAGACCTGGATTTGAGAACATAAGAAATTCTAGCTTCGGACACTGAAGAATTATCGTGTAGAAAGCCATGGGCGTCCACGTGCACCTGATGAGCTCGAGATCTCGTAGATATCTCCCGATATTCGCCCAGAACTCGGGGTCGATCCGATCAAGATTAGCTGGAAAAGAGAGAATCACGCCCGTGAAGTACCACGTATCGACGATGGTGATTCATCATATACTCTGAATATCTCCAAATAGCGCCCCGCTTAAAACCTCGTACCCTCTATAATCGAGAGGTGTTTGTATTGGCGCTGCGTCCGTCTCAAGACCCCCACGGCCTGATTCAAGTCTGCACCTCGGATTACAACTTGGACATCCTCTAACCATGAGAAAGCGGGGAGAAGCTGCAGCCAGCGACGACAGACGAGCGAACATTTGAGTCTTTCCAGTGGATCGAGAGAGGATAGAAGTCGCAAGAGTAGCTTCAATCAAAGAATGTCAACAGATGTTCGTAGCTGATTCTGCATCAATGGATTGATTACACCGTAATTTCATTGAGATCATACGAACCTCGTCGGGAAAGTTCCTCATTTCAATAACTTCGCGTTCGGCCATTGGAAAGAGACTGGAGGGATCTGTAATTCGACTGTATACTGAGTTGATAGATACGGCTTCAAGGATCCCCTGCCCGGTGCAGTGAGAGTCAAACCATGGCGCAATCATAGTCATGGAATACTCTTAGATCGACAGTTTTATTCCACTCTGCGACAGTTAGACTATTTCACCGTAAATTCCACGTCGTCACCGATTAGAATCTCGAGAAGCGTGCTCGGTTCCCCCAGTGACATGAACTCGATCCGGAGTATTGTACACGCATAGCAGGGATATTAGTTTCTTTACCTGAAACTGCTCAGGTATGGCGGAATGAGACGGAGAGCAACTCTGATGTGTTCCGAAAATAATTAGATCACCTCGATCCTCAGCACCGATTCACCGGACGTAGATACAGACCCCAGAGAACAAAACATCTGATTCTGCCACATTTGAGACAAGGCGTACGTACGAGCACGTCCCGTTCGCCGCTACATTCCTTGCAGATTTTAGCGAACGATGATCGCTGTCTGTCGGATCATCAGTTTGTCGAACTATATCTCAACGATACATACACATTCTCGCACGAGTTCATCGAGCCTGCTCCGCACCCGAATCTGCTCTTTTGTTCTGCTTATAGACTAGAATTGTGAATAATAATCCAGGAATTCCTGCAATCGCTCCAAAAGTATTGCACAATGTTGTTCGGGAGGAGACCAGGGCGGGTAGCGGAGTCAGAGTACCCTACTCAGATGTTGAAACGTGCTGGTGAGAGGATGTTTCGTCGGTAGAAATGCATTGTTCGGCGTCCCGCTCTTAAACGTCAGAATCGGGAGGTTTCTTGGCATCGCTCGAGGGAATCTTAGTTCACGACTCACGACGCGCATGATCGTTTCTCTCGCTGGCGGATGCAAGATGTGAGTACCCTCTCGGATGAACTTGAAATTCCGAGTCCTGGAGACCCAGACTCTCTTACGTTTCTGGAGATTGTGGCGCTCTCGGTATTGATCGCCAAGCACGAATAGAGCAATAGAGATGTCTTGAGTTCTGACGGTATTGGAAATTCGACGCTGGAAACGTCTGTCAAGACTTGCGATCATTGAGCTCAACATCTTGAATGCTCCTGAGGCAACTCAGTTCCGTGGATCGTTCATCGTCACAAGCTTTTGTCCGTGAACCGCCTCCACGACTGATTCTCATCGGAAGGCAACGATTCTATCGCTCACTCGAAGGTTTCCCGCATCTAAGTGAGAGCACCGTGGGATTCCTGGGAGTCTGACCCACGAATAGCTGAATCTTAATAGATATATGGAGCTGTGAGTCGGATTTGGAGAAGCTTGAAAAGAGCGCTCCGGCCAGAGGATGCGAGCTCACCCCGGGAGCACTCGATGAAAGCTTCTCAAGACGATCCCAGAGCCAATGAGCATCTTTATTACCGCACGAGACCTACCACGGAGAGAATTATTTCCCTGAGCCTTGGTTCAAATAGGGACGATCTTCCGTCGAACGTCAGAAGCCGCATATCCAAAGACCTATGATTGTTGCCGTATTGGTGGCCGAAATAGATTGCTCAAATCTCCTATACGAGTCCGGAATGTGATTTTCATTACGATCAGCTCAGTACTATGCTGTGAGTCAAAACTCTTCAGGGAGATGTTGTCCTTAAGATAATGATCATGTTCACAAGGGACGATCTAGCTCACCGGAGAGCATTCCCTCCCTGATTTCCTGGTAATGGGAGTGATGACTCACAATCAGCCGAGCTGGCGCGATGAGTTCTATCTCTATGAACTATGACCCAATCAACGAGAGACCCGACTTCAAATTTCGTAGCCCGATGGGCCACCGAAGCATTTATCACTCACTGGATTTGAGGGAGTTCCTCCGATACTCGTCCGAAACTTTCCGAAACTTCAGTAATTTACTCCTCCGAGCCATTCGTTCGTGTCCCAGCGCGTTTAAGCGTACCCATCCTACCTCTACTGTGACACCCTTTGTTCCTTCGCGGCTTTCCGATTCCCCCTACAAATCATGATCAACTACATCATGCTCGATAAAAGCGTTGAGAATTTCTCTCGGCTTTCCCGCAGTATGGATCCAGGGGTGGACGTGCTTCGCAGTGACATCTGAGCGAATAATATTTTGGATGCGGACCGTTAGAAGGTCCAACCGGGTTGAGGGATGCGTCCTCTTTCATAGTCCTTGTCGGACTCAATTGACGGAGTGGAATTCTGCGGGAAAAATCAAGCGGAAGACGTTCGGTCGCGAAGTCAAAAATCAAGAAAAATCCGCGATGCTTGCGTCTCGGATGCGTCGCTCCGAGAACTAGCTAGAGCGAGCCGGAGTACTCGGAGACATGGTCATCGGGTATTGGACTTCTTCGTAGGATTGAACCGGATCCCGGAGACGAGGCGGAGAAGTAAGCCTTCGAGACCGGCCTTTCCCAAATGGCCGCGATGGGTAAGCGGAATCAGAATGGATGCCGAGTCCTAGTCTCGGTTCTCAAACGCGCTAATAGGAAAGGTTGGGAACCTCGTTCCCATGCCTACACTTGGTCTGCTCGGCTCAACGAATTAATCATTCTATGAGAGAAGTCAGCGTCTGTTACACGGCTCTGTTTCTAGAGGGTTGGAGCCAAGAAACTACCACACTCATTCAATCACGCTAGGTTCCGGAGCATCAAGGAGATATCATACTTGGATTTCCCCAGTGGGAAATCGCTGAAGTGATCATGCGGGAGATCTCCCAAGGGAACCGAGTCGAAATTCCAGCGTGCGACGAGTTCTGAATGAAGACGCGCCTCCTCTAACACGATACTCAGCGTCACGGTCGGAAGTCGTGGAAAGGGCAGGTTGCTCGAATTTCAACGCACCAAGTACTCGGTGGATTACTCAATCATCTCGAACGACCACCGGGGGCTCGCTTTCTCAAACAAGTTCCGTGAATCGGGCTCGGCCGTGGCTGTCGGTGAAAATTTAGACCTTCCGGTGGAAACACGGAGCTCCTGGCGGGAATACTAAGCTCCTGACGGACGACACGTGACGTTTTGCGTGGGCCTTGACCCCGACCCGTACCTCCGCATTGTAGAATCTGTCTATGGGATTGATGCCCAATCGACATATGAGCCCGCCCAGAGGAGGAGATGAAAATCAGGGGGCGATGGTGAGATACGGGCAGGCGGAGATGCTTTCCAAAACTCCGAATATCAAACGTCCATCCCGGATAGAGGACCCAGTCTCTCGAAATCCGAGAAATCACCCGAATCCCCGGAGGCTTTTTTTGCCTCCTTCGGAGCGTATTGAAGAGGGATGTCTTCTCACGGGCAGAATGAATCCGTGAAACCAAAATATATTTACGTCTCAAGGCTGCACGCTATCATTTTGAACCTCCGGGGCCCGAAAAGCCCCGGGATTGAGTCCCATGTTTTCCTACGACGAAAATGCGGCTCGTGCTCCTGAAAACACTATTCCTGAGAGAAAGAGAAGGAGCGTGACGGCCTCTGCAGCCCCGTGCAACAATCCAGGCTAAAAATCAGGCGCAAGCAGATCAGGTTCACCACGAAGCTGCGTCGAGGCTGAGAAGCCTGCTTCAATGCTGGTATCATCGGAGGAGAATCCAACACTGCCGATTATCCGCGGAACGAAGCAGAATATGGGGTGCGTTGTCGATCGTTGTTGCTGTCCAGGGTCCGTGCGCGTCACAATGAGCATGTCTGCGTCTCAGGCTCGGAGAATAAGGATAGATTCTGTGAAAGAGCTGTAATTGGAGCTGGATCGAATCACACTGTTTGGCGAGAAGAGTTCATTCCGTCACATCCCTCCGTATCGGTCTCGCGGTGCTTGTCATGAGAAAGTTACCTAGGTCCATCATCTTGATTCATTTGGTTTCCCTGTGAGATTTTGCTCATAGTTCCCCTTGAACCCCTCGGGCACGTCAAATTGGAGGAAATTTCCTTCGAATTCCGGCCGAAGGCTGGGCTCGGAATAGCCAGGAACTCAATGTCGACAGCCCGAGGGAACTCGTCCACGCTATAGTGACGGGCGCGACCTATTCGGTGTGGTGAGAATTTAATAACCCGGATCGACTCAGAAGTGAATCTGACGAAGACGGATTGCGCTTTCTTTCGGCTATCACATACAGTCCGTCTTCTTTTTGAGCGTATAGTTTGAACTATCGGTTTCCTTTGTCTTGACGCCTAGTCAGGGAACAGTTCCATGCAAATTCCGGCTTGAAGGCCGCGCGACTCCATGAGATGACTCTTTGAGGGCAATGTATTGCTCAAATCAGATGAATCAATCTGATAGAGGGGCCTCCTACTCGAATCTTGGTCCACAGGGGGACCTAAGCTGGAATCTCTGTTCCCCTCGCAGTTCCTACGCTCACGCTGAGAACTCCGGATACTTTCATATGGAAAGTCGTGGGTTCCCTATTTTTCCGTCTTGCGCTCCCCGCTGAGCTCACTTCATATGTCACAACTGTTCTCGGAAGTCGCCCGCATAATTGAGCGCTTGCCTCTCGAGGTGCTGCAGTGAAGTGTTTGTTGACGCTCCGGAAGCCGACGAAGGCATTTTATCACTCGGGATGAGCGCTTTAATTCACTCCACTGCCGTCTCAATCCATTCCGGCTAATGGAAGTCGATGCATTTGAGGAAGTTCCTATTAAGAGCACCCACCAGCGTGACGCTTGAGCAGCGAGACAACAGCGACCGCGGGGGTTTTCTTGTATCCCAAGTCGGACTTCGAAAATTGCGAATCGAATGGACGTGGGAGAAGAACTCGCATAAGATCAAACTAGTCCTCCCGGGAAAGGACTAGCGCCACGTGTCGGAAGTTCGAATTGTTTCAAACATCCTTTTGAGGCAGGGAACAACGGCAAGGAGTAGGTAGGGCGAGCTCCGGAAGTTCGAGCAGCAAAAGAGGAGTCCCGGGTAGCGAAAAAGTTGGACCGGTTCAAGGAATTATTGTTGGACTAGTTCTAGTTCGAGCGGGAGCGACATCACCAGCAGCTTTGCATTCACGTCAGCGGCCTCGAGGCTTTTACGAATGAAGGATGAGAGGCACTTAACTCATCATCTTGTACCCCACGGCTCAAAAGAACCACTTGCCTCTTGCAACTCACGAGTGTTTCACTCGGAGAGTCGTCGCTAGTCTTTCCGAGACATCGTACCATATTTCATAGATTCCATCTCGAGGAGCTAAACTTTCCGAGACAATCGTCGCAACCGTCGAGAGCGGAGTCATTGTGAGGTCGTCTCCGAAATTGTGCCTCGAATCGCTGACTCGGCTCAGACAGCGCACTTCGGTGGGTTTGGGAAGCCACTCAAAGTGAGCGGTGAGCAAATCATGCGGGAGATTAGTGGGGGATTAGGAACCAACTGAAGAGCACAGTTTGGTTCGCTG